ACGACTTCCCTTCTAGCGTTTAGGAAAAAACTAAAGACCTGGATGTGGGACCAAGCTTTTGGCCATGCTGACAACTGATCAAAGGACCTATCGATAGACAAGGACAATGGAATGGAATGGATATATGGACTCTGATATATGGACTCTGACATGAGATAGTTTTTATGATTTTAATAGGTATTGATGTTTCATTTTAATTGTTGAACTGTTATATTTTTTATTGTTTGTTGTGTGATTTGGGCATCTAATTGTGCCTCCTTTGTAAGCCGCCCTGAGTCCCCCCCGGGGTGAGAAGGGCGGGGTATAAGTAGATGAAATAAATAAATAAATAAATAAATATCATAGTGGGATAATAATAATAATACATAATAATATATATATAATAATAATAATAATAATAATAATAATATAGTATGGTAGGATAATAATAATAATACATAATAATATATAATAATATAGTATGGTAGGATAATAATAATACATAATAAATACCTTTCGGACCGCATCTTGGCCTACGAGCCCACGAGGACCTTGAGATCGTCTGGGGAGGCCCTTCTCTCGATCCCGCCTGCCTCACAGGCACGTTTGGCGGGGACGAGAGAGAGGGCCTTCTCGGTGGTGGCCCCCCGGCTGTGGAACACTCTCCCTGCAGACATCAGACAGGCGCCCTCCCTCATGTCCTTCCGAAAAAGCCTCAAGACATGGCTGTTCGAGAAGGCATTTAATTAGTGCTTTAACAATGTGGTAAAGATGATTGGAATGGAACAAGGAATATGAGATTGGTTATGATTCCACTAAGAGACGAAGCGGATTTTTAGCGTAGTTTTTTTGTAATTGTTATGTAGTTTATATGTTGTTGTAATTGCCTTTTTGTAAATTGTCCTTTATGTGTGTGTACACCGCCATGAGTCGCCCTAAAGGGCTGAGAATGGCGGTTAATAAATGCATCAAATAAATAAATAAATAAATAAATATATAATAATAATATAGTATGGTAGGATAATAATAATACAATATATCATAGTGGGATAATAATAATAATACAATATATCATAGTGGGATAATAATAATAATACATAATAATATATAATAATAATAATAATACAGTATGGTAGGATAATAATAATAATACAATATATCATAGTGGGATAATAATAATAATACATAATAATATATAATAATAATAATAATACAGTATGGTAGGATAATAATAATAAATAATATTTCATAGTGGGATAATAATACATAATAATATATAATAATAATAATAATAATAATATAGTATGGTAGGATAATAATAATGCAAATATCATAGTGGGATAATAATAATACATAATAATATATAATAATAATAATAATAATAATAATAATATAGTATGGTAGGATAATAATAATAATACAATATATCATAGTGGGATAATAATAATACATAATAATATATAATAATAATAATATAGTATGGTAGGATAATAATAATACAATATATCATAGTGGGATAATAATAATACATAATAATAATAATAATAATACGTTAAAATCCCTTTACCCTGGACTGTTTCCAAGCTAGGCCTCACCCATCCTGTATCTGCATTCCATTCTTAATGGCCTAGGTGTCACACTTTACACTGAAACCTATAGTACTGTTATTGCTCTCCCCGCTAGGAACCCTGGGATTTGCAGTCCAGGGCAGGGTGTGGAGCCTTGTGAGGCAGGCCCTTCTGGCCCTCCATTGAACTACAACTCCCAGAATCCCATGGGGGGGAGGCTGCAATAGCAATGCATAGATCTAAAAGGAGGGGCGAGAGTTTGCCAGAGTCCCCCACTGCCAGACAGAGAATGCACCTGGAAGGGGTTCCCGGGGTCTCCCTCGAAGGGGTTCCCCTCTCCGCTCAGGGCCATGCCTCCCTCGCTCTCCTCTCTCTCTCGCTGCTGCTGCTCCTGCTCCGGCTGCTGCTGCAATCCTCGCCTCTCATTGGCTGCCGGGGCCCAGCGCGTCATCAGAGGATGGGGTGGGGATTCCCAGGCGCGTGACGCAGAGGGGCGTGGCCTCGCGTTCCCGCGCTGGCCGACGGGAATTGAAGTCCCCAGCGTCTGGGATTGTAGTCTCTTGCCTTTTCCAGGTTGGGCGGGGCTGTGTTTATCTCTGCTGGAAGCTCATGAGATCCCATGTCCTCTCAAACCCACATCTCGGCATAGAACAGGGTATAGCTGCATTGAATGAGATTATGGGAAGGAATGGGAAGGAAGGAAGGAAGGAAGGAAGGAAGGAAGGAAGGAAGGAAGGAAGGAAGGAAGGAAGGAAGGATGGAGGGAGGGAGGAGGGAGGGAGGGAGGGAAGGAAGGAAAAGGGAAAGAAAGAAGAGAAGGAAGGAAGAAGGAAAGAAGAAAGGGAGAGGGAGGGAGGAAGAAGGAAAGGAAAGAAGAAGAAGGAAGGAAGGAAGGAAGAAGGGAGGAAAGACAGAAAGATGGAAAGAAGGAAAGGAAGAAGGACAAAAAAGGGAAATAAGGAAGGAAGGAAAGAAGGACGGAAAAGGGAAAGAAAGAAGGAAGGAAGAAGGAAAGAAGAAAGGGAGAGTGAGGGAGGGAGGAAGAAATAAAGGAAAGAAGAGAAGGAAGAAAGAAGAAAGACAGAAAGATGGAAAGAAGGAAGGAAAGACAAAAAAGGGAAAGAAGGAAGAAGGAAAAGGGAAAGAAAAAGGAAGAAGGACAAAAAAGGGAAATAAGGAAGGGAAAGGGAAAGAAAGGAAGAAGGAAAGAAGAAAGGGAGAGGGAGGGAGGAAGAAGGAAAGGAAAGAAGAGAAGGGAGGAAGACAGAAAGATGGAAAGAAGGAAGGAAAGAAAAGGGAAAGAAGGAAGGAAGGAATGAAAGAAAGAAGAAGGAAAGAAGAAAGGGAGAAGGAGGGAGGAAGAAGGAAAGAAGAGAAGGAAGGAAGGAAGAAGGGAGGAAAGACAGAAAGATGGAAGGAAAGAAGGAAGGATGGAAAAGGGAAAGAAAGAAAGAAGGAAGGAGGAAGAAGGAAAGGAAAGAAGAGAAGGAAGGGAGGAAGAAGGAAAGATGGAAAGAAGGAAGGACAAAAAAGGGAAAGAAGGAAGGAAGGAAGGGAGAAGGAGGGAGGAAGAAGGAAAGGAAAGAAGGGAAGGAAGGGAGGAAGATGGAAAGAGGAAGGAAAAAAAAAAGGGAAAGAAGGAAGGAAGGATGGAAAAGGGAAAGAAGGAAGGACAAAAAAAGGGAAAGAAGGAAGGGAAAAGGGAAAGAAAGGAAGGAAGGAAGAAGGAAAGAAGAAAGGGAGAGGGAGGGAGGAAGAAGAAAAGGAAAGAAGAGAAGGGAGGAAGACAGAAAGATGGAAAGAAGGAAGGAAAAAAAGGAAAGGAAAGAAAAGGGAAAGAAGGAAGGAAGGAATGAAAGAAAGAAGAAGGACAGAAGAAAGGGAGAAGGAGGGAGGGAGGAAGAAGGAAAGGAAAGAGGAAAAGAAGAAAAGGAAAGAAGGAAGGAAGGAAGATGGAAGGAAGGAAGGAGGAAGGCAAGAAGCTGCACCCATACCTTGGGAAGTCAGACTTGGCCACGGTGGTCCATGGTCTCGTTACATCAGGATAGACTACTGCAACATGCTCTATGTGGGACAGCCTTTGAAGACTGTTCGGAAGCTTCAAATAGTCCAATGAGAGGCAGCCAGGCTAATAACTGGGGCGGCACACAGGGAGTACACAACCCCCATGTTACGTCAGCTCCGCTGGCTGCCTGTTTGCTACCTGGCACAATTCAAAGTGCTGGCTTTGGCCTTATAGGCCTCAATGGCCCAGTTTACCTGTCCAAACACGTGTCCCTTTACGAACCACCACAAAGACTAAGATCTGGGGAGGCCCTGCTCTTGGTCCCACTACCATCACAGGCAGGTTTGGCAGGGACGAGAGACAGGGCCTTATCAGTGATTGCCCCCAGCTATGGAACTCCCTTCCTGGTGAGATTAGACCCGCTCCCTCCCTCCTGTCCTTCAGAAAGATGGTGAAGACTTGGCTGTGGGACCAAGCCTTTGGGGCAGGGCAAGGAGGCAATCCTAGAATGGTGTCCTTGAAGCCGAGCACCCCCCCCTCCCAAAACAAGGGATAGTGACTTATAGTTCTGCAAAGGGCAAGGGCACCAGACTGCACAGTAGGGGTTAAGTCTTGGTCACATTGCCAAGGCACTAACAACAACAAGGACCCCACGAGACTTTTGGGGAACGGCTGGATCTTGGGACTTCTGCCCTTCATGAGAGTTGTAGTTTCCCAAGGACCAGCTTCGATCCCAGCGTGGCAGAATTCCACCCAATGGCTCAGTGGGAAATCAACAGACTTTCCTTTTGGGCTTTAAGAGCTCTGCCTAATGTTTTGGACTCGCAAGGACATCTTTCCTGCTCATGAACTTCCCTCAAAATGGACTATGGACTCATATTGCTTGAAAATAATTTTTTAAATTAATTTTTATACCATTTTCTTTTACAGTGAAAGAGGGAGAACAATTATTGTGATAGAAAGTTGTGAAGTTTAGACAGACCGTGGGGGATAAAATAAAGGGTAGGCGGGGTAAGAGAGGTAGGGAGGGGCCCAGAAGTAGAATAGAAGGGATAAAGGGGAGGTAGGAATGGGTGGAGAATGGGATGGGGGTCAGACGAATGTGTGCATCACTTCCGTTCAGTCCGCAGAGGAGTGATTATCTCGTTGTATTGTTCCTTTTTCCTGTTCCTTGCTGTCCTTGCTCTTCTTACCCATCGACTTTTAAGTGTCCAGTTTGAATTTGCTTTTCAAATATTCTTCCATGTCCTTCCAGCTTATTTGTTTGGTCTTACTGAGTTCTTCTATTTGACTCGATAATCTGTCACAAATTCTGAAATCTGTTATTTTCTTTATCCAATCTTCATTAGTTGGAATCTCTTTACTTTTCCATTTCTGGGCTATCAATATTTTGGCTGCCGACGATAAATAAAACAAAATTTTTTCTTCATTTTTCTTCAGACCTAAATCTGTTATGTTCAATAAATAATATTCAGGTTTGAGCTCAAACTTTGTTTTAATAATGTTTTGTGTATGTAAATGAACCATCGTCCAAATTTTTTTAATCTTCTTGCAATTCCAATACAAATGGAAATAGGTTCCAGCTTCCTTTCCGCACTTCCAGCACTGCGTATTGTTATTTTTACTAAATTTCGCCAATTGTACAGGTGTCAAATGCCATCTATAGAAAACTTTGTGCCAGTTCTCTACTATGCTGCTGGCTCTAGTGTATTTAAGCTTGACCTTCCATACTTGTTCCCATTCGCTTATTAGTATAGAGTGGCCTATATCCCTGGCCCACATGACCACATTTTCTTTTACTATTTCCGTTTCAGTATTCCACTCTAACAGGTTTCGATACAAGATTCTAACCAGCTTCTTATCCTTTTTCATAATTATATCCCAACACGTGTCCTTTTCGCTAAATCCCACTTTTAGATCTTCCTTTAAAGTTTCTTTAATTTGTATATATTGTAGCCAATTTAGTTCTTTATCTTCCCTCTTTAATTCTTCCATAGACCTCAGGTGCCATTCATTGTTGATTTTAACCAATAGTTGCCTGTAATTAAGCCATCTACTTTTCGGTAACTCTCTTTTATGATATGCCTCTATTGGCGATGTCCACATGGGTATTCTGGGGTAAATGATGTCTTTATACTTGTTCCAGGTCTTTAGTAGGGGGCCTCTGATGTAATGATTAGTAAAGTTTTTTTCTATCCTTGCCTTTCCATAGCTTAGGTAAGCGTGCCACCCTCTTCTAATGTCATAACCTTCTATAGTTAATATTTTTTTTTGCTCCAGGGTAGCCCATATTTTCACCCATGATAGGGCACAGGCTTCAAAATACAGCTGCATGTCCGGCATGGCCAATCCTCCCCGACTTTTGGCGTCTGTGAGATTTTTAATCTTAATTCTGGCTTTTTTCCCCTCCCATATAAAATTTAATATTTGTTTGTTCCATTTTTGGAAACATGTATTTGTCTTAATAATTGGTATCATCTGGAACATGAAAATCATCTTAGGTAATACACTCAATTTTATGGCTGCGATCTTTCCTAGTATAGATAGATTTAAATATTTCCAGTTGTTGAATTTCTTTATTATATTACCCCAGGTTTTTTCATAGTTATCCTTAAACAGATTCATATTTGAAGCCGAAATTACTATGCCTAGATATTTAATTTTATTGACCACTTCAATTCCAGACTTCGAAACAATCTTTACCTTTCTTTCTGCCTTAACATTTTTAGTAAGAATTTTTGTTTTATTTTTGTTTATCTTAAATCCTGCTAGTACACCAAATTTTTCAATTTTAGATATCCATTTTTCAATAGTTTCTAATGGAGACTCCATAATGCAGACCACATCATCTGCGAACGCTAAGGTTTTGTATTCTTCTGATCTTATTTTGAGGCCTCTTAGCTCTTTATCCTTTCTTAAGTCCTCCAATAAAACTTCCAACACCAAAATAAACAAAAGTTGAAAATAATTTCTTTATTAAATTTCTTTGGCAGGGTGGGATGGGGAAGGAGATATTTGATATGAATTTCTGTGGATTTCTGTATTCCCCCATGTATTTTCCTTATTCTTGCCCTGACACCCAAACCTATCACTCCTTCCTCCTCCCCTTGGGTAAATCAATCCAGGAAGCGGCCAGCTGTTGAAAGGGCAATCAGAGGCAACAAAAGAAACTCATATCCCAGAGCTCTGGTGAGGACAATAAGACCTGGAATCCCTATGTAGCTCAAGGATTAAGGCCAGGCTGGGGATTTCCTTCTGCAGACTTTTGGCCATTTCACAATAGGAGCGAGACGCCTTTCAGGGGGCCGCCTTCCCAATTTTGTTTACTTCATTCAAAACCGGACATTTCCCCAGCTTCCCCTTTTGTGCCTTATCTGATTGCGGCAGGAAGGCCAGGATGAAAGTAATCAAGGATCATTGCAACTCCACTCAAGGACAATCGACTGGGCATCGCAT